TAATGTACTTGCATTTTACATAGTTTTAGCACATCTTCTATGCATCTTTTGCATAGTTTTACTTCTCATTTGCATCATATCTTGTTCCTTTTCTCTTCTTATGCATTCATGTTAGTTTTAGGTTGCATTTGCATACATATGCATGTTTGGTCCTTTGAAATAGGTCTTTTGGAGCATTCTGGAGCATATGGGACAAGAGGAGAATGGAGGGACTTGGCACATGGACGCAGCTCAACTGGATACGCAAAGGAAGAAGGGAGAAGCCATCTTGAAGACCAGCTCGACCGTCTACTCGACCAACCGGTCGAGTTCAACTCGACCGGCCAAAACTCGATCGAGCTGAGAAGTCAAAGTCAAACCCGAAAAATGTTGCTTCCCCCTTGACTTTCCTTTGACCCTAAACCTAATCCTCTTGTATTTAAGGGCTAAAAGCCACGAAAAAACCACCAAGCTTTACTTTATTTTTGTTTTAGCTCTAATCCAATCTTTGTGTTCTTGAAGCTCTTGCTTCTTGAATCTTAGATCCTGGATTATTTGCTTTGTATATGCACTTGCTTATTTCAATAAAAGTTGTTTAATTTCATCTCCTCTTTCTTATGATGTCTCTTTTATTGCATTTGCTTGTGTTTACATTCATGTGTAGTGAGTAGTTACCCATTTGGGTTTGAGATGGGATAGATTAGAGGTTTCATATGCTTAATCCTTCTAGCTTATGGTCTTAATCTATATTCTCTCTCTTTTGGATAGATCTTAAGGCTACATGACCACTACCCCTGGCTTGTAAGTCCTTAGGCGATTCCCCACACGAAAGTGATGGCAATTACTGGAAAAGATCCACTAAGAGCTCCAATAACTCTTGCTCTAGAAAATAGAGGTCTAAGGGGTTGGATGGATTAGTTTGATAGGCTTTGTGATTTGACAAAGATCAATGGTGTCTCTGAAGATGCCATCAAGCTGAGACTCTTTCCTATGTCTCTAGCTGACAAAGCTCACCAATGGGAGAAGAGCTTGCCCCATGGCACAATCACCACTTGGGATGAATGCAAGAAGGCCTTTCTTGCTAATTTTTCTCCACCGGTCGCACAGCCAAGCTTAGAGGAGAGATATCCAGCTTCATCCAGCGAAACAATGAGACATTCGCAGAGGCTTGGGAGAGGTTCAAAGGCTACACAAGTCAGTGCCCACACCATGGATTCAACAATGAATCACTACTCTCCACTCTTTATAGAGGATGCTTGCCTAGGTATAGGGAGATGCTAGACACAGCTAGCAATGGGAACTTCCTCAACCAGGATGTAGATGATGGCTGGCAACTTGTGGAGAACATAGCTAACTCAAATGGAAGCTATGGAGAAGAGTATGATCGCACCAACCGGAGCTCGACCCACCACTCGATCGAGTCAGACGAAAAGTTGAGAAAAGATGTTAAGGCATTGAATGAGAAGTTGGATAAGCTGATCCTAGCTCAGTCCACAATGAAGAAAGTCAACTTTGTGTCTGCTGAGGAGATGGAACCAGTCCAAGAAGGGGAGGATACACAATTTGCTGAGGTGTGCTACATGAGCAATGGGCAAGGAGGTTACAACAAAGGATACTATAACTACAAGTCCAACCCTGCCATGTCATACCGCAACACTGATGTTGCTAACCCTCAGGACCAAGTATATCCTCAACAACAAGCAGCTCGATCGAGTCAGGTGCCACAACATGGGTATGGTCAAAAGAACAATTACCAAGGACCACAAGGCACTTTCCCTGGACAACAAATGAATATCCCACCAGGCTTCCCCCACCAACCGCCCCAGCCTGCACCTTCACAAGAGAATGAGCTCAAAGCAATGCTAAAGCAACTACTTCAAGGGCAAGCTGATGGGGTAGTGGACACAAGCAAGAAGCTAGCTGAAATAAACTCTAAGATCGAGAACCTCAACACAAGGGTTTACTCTCTGGAGAATCATGCTTCTTCTGTTGCTGCTGCTACAAAGCAAGGACAACTACCTGGTAAAGCTATTCAGAACCCCAAGGAACAGTGCAAGGTCATCTTCACTCAAGAAGGACTTGTTGAAGAAGAGGATCAAGAAAGGGTCATTGAAGATTTTTGTTTACTGCTGAATGATGAAGAGATTGTTGCTGCTGAGGCTCCTGGAGTCCAGATTGATCAACCAGAAGTGCATGCACCTACTGTGGCCATTCACACTTCACCAGTTGAGCTCGCACGACAAGCTCGATCGGCAGCTCGATCGAGTCCAACTCTAGCTCGATCGAGTCCGACCTCTTCTGTCCGACAGCCTGTTTTGCTTGATCCTTATCAACCGGTTGCCGCTTCCTCGTCTCGCCTACTTAGTCAAGGTCACAAGGAAGTGATTCACAAGTTCAGAAGAGATCTCAGTGGGATTGGAATTGAGTTGCCTCTATGGATAGCATGAGTGAGGCATTTGATCAAATGCAAATGGTCAAGGATGTTCTAGCCAACAGTGATAAAGTTTCAGAGGTCCTACAAGAGTCTACTCATCAGTTCAACCTGCTTACTTCACCCACCTTCCTACCAAAGGTCAAGGATCAAGGGAAATTCACTCTCCCTTGCACACTTGGGCATCTTGAGATTGACAATGCCTTAGTGGATTCTGGAGCAAGCATCAATCTGATCTCTCTCTCCATGGCAGAGAAGCTAGGCATAGCTGGAGCCTTGCAGCGCCCTACTACTTCAATCATGTTTGGAGATGCAACTTCTAAGTCTCCTCTTGGAGTGTTCAAGAACTATCACTTGAAAATTGGAGAATGCATCATCCAAACTGATCTCACTGTGATGGAAATGGAAGAAGAGAAGGATTTGCTATTGGGAACTACCCTGTTATTGGGAACCCCTTCCTTAGTACAGTTGGCGCTTCAATAGACTTTCACAAGCAAGAAGTGATCCTTCACAAGGTGAATAGTTTGGTGTCATATCGCTTGCAGCCTAGAGGTTCAGACTTTTGTGCCACAATTGACAGTACCACTCTCAGTTCTAAGAGTCATGGAGCTACAAAGGTTGTGAAGGAAAGGGTTGACAAGGAACCAAGAGTTGGGAAGGATAAGGATGAGAGAGGACCAAGGATTGAGAAGCCACGTCTTGAGAGGGCTAGAGTTGAGAAACCACGATCTGATAGGCCAGAGCTGAGACTTGTTCAAGCCCCTTGTGTGCTTGATGAAGAGAGCCTTCAAGCTTTGTTTGATGAGCCACTAGGAAGGGCTCTAAAAGAAGGGGAGGATGTAGCCTCTAAGGCAAGACCAGGGATAAAAGAAAGGATCCACCAGCTCAGGCCCCTTCAGTCAAGCCATCTCAGCTCACAATGACTTTGTTCCCCACCAAGTTTGAAAATGGGAAGATTGAGTACAAGATAAGGTACAAGGGGAGATCAAGGCCATTCTCTAGAGCCAAGGCCTTGGTGACTTCAGAACAGTCCAGGGACCCAACCAAGCTAAAGGAGCTTCTGTCTCAAGTCCTCACTATCACCCTTGATGGTGGGACTAGCTCAACCAATGCCTAAGAAGGTAAAGGTCAAGCTATGGGACCTTAAACAAGCTCACTTGGGAGGAAGTCCCATGTTTATCCTTGTACATATTCTATTTATGCAATTTCTATCTATTTTATGTTTTAACCTTTCAATAAGTTAAGTTTAGGTGTCAAGGAGCCAGCTCGACCGACAGCTCGATCGAGCTAGAAACCAGGGCAACTCGATCGAGTTCTCAACTCGACCAGGTAAGTTTTTGAATTTCAAATTCATAACCGTTTTCTTGGTCAAGGGAGTGGGTCCCACAAGCTGATTTTGGTCCCCCACTACCCTAATTTGATCAGAGAATCCCTAGCTTCTTGTTCCCCTCTTTATTTCATCTTTTAATCTCAACCACACATCTCAAACACTCCCTCTTCCCCATAACTCGATCGAATCCCACTCTCTCTCACACCTAAATTTCTGAAACCATCTCTCTCTCTCTTCACCACAAGAAAAATCGATTTCCTCTCTTCTCTCTTAAGTTTTTGCGATTTCTTTGTTCTCATCTTGTTTTGCTTAGTTCTAGTTTACTGTTTCTTCCATCATTCAAGCAAGGTATGAACCCTAAAACCCTTGATCCTTCATCTCGATTTCTCTATTGCTTGTTTCTCTTTGATTTTTGATTGCATGTGTCCCTTGTGGACTTGTTCTTGAGTAATTGCTTTCATTTTGCTTCATTTTGTATAATCTTGTGAATTTGCCTCACCTCACCTCTGTTTTGCCATTAGAACTTGTTGCATGTGCTTGAAATTGAATTTGAGTTTGGTATTGGTTAAGATGCTTAGGTTCACTAGAATTGCTCATTGTTCCATTTACTAGTTGTTCTTGGTTCAATTTGATTGATTAGCATCTTTCCAGCTCTTAATTTGAATTAGGTTTGGTTATACTCTGTTTTCACCCAACTCGATCGAGTTTGTCACTCGAGTTTTTTGACTCGATCGAGCTGAGTGTCGAGTTGACCAAACCGATCATTGCAACTCTAATTCTTTGAATTTTGATGCATTTCAGGAACCCAACTTTAAGAAGCAACAAGTTCAAGATGTTGAGAGGTGAAGGAAGCCAAGCAGCTTCAGAAAGCAAGAAAGAGAGAAAGGCTTAAGATGCAAGGATTTGGGATAGTGAGATCAAAGAGAGGAAAGCAGATGAGAGAGATGTCTCTCTGAGGAGCAGTCTGAAGTGAGAGATTGAGGGAGGAAAGGAGAACCAAGAAGAGGAATGACCCATTAGTAGTGAGAGTGAGCAAGGGGAGTTTGAGATTGGAGTGAACCTTGTTCAAAGAGGGTAATGGTCTCCAATGAAGAAGGAAGTGATGAGACTGAGAGTGAAGAGGAAGGAGAAGAGGTGAATCAAGGTTGAGGAAGTGAGCAAGAGACCAAGATGAAGCCATGGAGGAGGCTGAATCAGAGGAAGAGGATGAGCTCCCCATGTACCAAGAGCACTACAATGCTCTCTTCTCCATGGACTTTGTGGAGACCAAGTACCCACATGATGACACATGAAGGCCTTGGATCTTTGAGGATGTGGAGTTGGTCTCAAGAACATGCACTTGGCCAAGTTCTTCTCTCACCGCATGGAGTCTACAAGGAGCTCACTTGTGAGTTTTTGGCTCAATGAGGTCACATGTATGATGAGCTCGATCGAGCTGAGTTGGACCAAGGTTGGGGGATCACGTTCTTGGCAAGGGAGAGAAGAAGATGGTGACCTTTAGGCAGCTTGAGATCTGTTTGGGTTCACTATGGAGAAGGAAAGTGGAACTCAAGGAAGAGAACTCCAAAGGGTTTGGGCTACAATCGCTGAGGGGTACTCTTCCTCAAGGTCCAAGGCTGCTCAGATCAGGAGCCCAGTGCTTGAGATATGTGCACAAGGCACTTGCCAACACCTTCTTTGCAAGGAAGGCACTGGGACAATCAATGAGGGAGAAGTCAAGCTCCTTGACATGGGAATCAAGCCCATCATCTCACGCACAAGGATGGGAAGAAGATCAGGGAGATAGCACATGCAGGGAACTCATGCCTCTCCTTGAGCAGCTCCACCTACAAGTCACAGCTTACAACACTAGGCACCAAGAGGAAGAAAGCTTAGTGTTGGAGGGTCATCACACCTATCTTGTGTGCAGCTGGAGTCCAACTGGACAAGAGAAGGTCTACTCCACCAGGTTGGATGGACATCAAGTTTTGCAAGACCAACCTCTCATTGAGCACAAGGAGTTGGATGGGAGGTTCCAATTCAAGTTCACACATCCATTGGCTGGCCCTCCAAGCTTCTCTGCCCAACCCTGAGCTCACCACAGTTCTAGGGGTGAGAACATTGACTTCAGACCCCCTGTGTACATTAGTTGGGCATGAGGATGATTTGCGAGAAGAGGAGCCTGAGCTCGATCGAGCTGAGGATCGAGCTGAGTCGAGCTGAGGATCGAGTGACAAGCCAGGAATGCGGATTTGGGTGAGCCTGAGTGCTATTACTTTGAGGAGTATGAGGCTCCAAGGATGAACCCCTCTGTTGTGGCTGCCCACAAGAGGATTGGACTTCTCCAAAAGTTCAACAAGTGGCAAGGGAAAGCCATGGAAAGATGCAAAAGTCCATGGACAAGATGGTGAGCAAGATCAAAAGTTTGGAGAAGAAAGTTTCTGGTTCTTCAAGCAAGAAGAAGAAGTCCAAGGCCCCACATTCCCTAGGAGTAGATCACTCCTCACCACTCCAAGGAGGCTCCCTGCCCAAGAGCCTCACAGAGCCTCTTCTTTCGAGCCAAGGGAAGGAGAAGACAACACGCAGAGAAGGAGGAAGAGTTCCAAGGCCAGACGCTCCAACTCGATCGAGTCCAAACAGAGGAAACTCAACTCGATCGAGCTGAGGGTCGAGTTGACCTGGAGGAGCCCCTGTTTGAGAACCCTGGATTCGAGTACGATCAACGCAGTACCAGGACTTCTCTCAGACCCTGGACCCCTACAACCGCTTCGAGCAAGCCAGCTCCACCAAGGCCAAGGGAGCCACACACTTTGAAGATGAAGAAGAAGAGGAAGAGGAGCCACAAGCTCGATCGAGTGAGCCGAACCCAGTCGAGTGGAGTGCTCCTGATGGCCGTCTACCATCTCCAGACCACGACCTAGCCTCCCAGTTCTTTGGGGGGCACTGAGGTATCCAAACACCAACCCTTGTATATACCATTTCATATTTTCTTGCATTTGTTCTTGTTTTTTCTTGGTTTTGCCCTCTTGAATCTTTCACTAAATTTTTCTCACACAAGGGACTGTGTGATTTAAGTTTGGGGGAGGGTTCAAGAGATGATTTAACCTTGTTTTCTTTGTTCTTAGTTTTTCATTTATCTTTTGCATAGAAAAACCAAAAAAATCATAAAATTTTCAAAAAATCCAAAAATATTTTCATCTTTTTGCATTCATATTTGTTAGACTTGTTTAGGATTGCATTTTTCACTTGCATTGTTGATTTGACTTTGAAAACTTGTCCATCTTTTGCGATTTCTTGAGTGCCCTGTTTTTAGATTCTTTTGTGCATTAGGGTGAGATTGATTGAGCAGCAAGAACCATGTTTATCTTGATCATATCACTGCATGCACATCTCATTCAACCATTGCTGTGATTTGATGCATTTCCCTATCTATTTGAACCATAACTTGATCTTTAATTACCAATGCTTGCATTTGATTTCAACTCATGGCTACCACATACATATCTGGACATTCTTTACCATTTTCATATCCCTTTTGCTTGTCCAGATAGCTGATCTCTATCTTTGAGACAGTTACCACACCTTAAACCTAAGCCTTTTTCATTTCAAACCCCATATTATCTCTTGTGCGAATGTGAGAACCTTTCTTGGCTTTGCTTAGCATAAGGTGTTGTGTTTAAACCGGCAGGGGCAGTAGTTCTAGTTGTCTAGTTCTCTTGGGATTGTTTTCAGGCTAAGTTTGGGGGTGCCAACTCGAGCTCGATCGAGTTGGGTGTAAAAACCAGAAAAGTGGTAAAAGTTGGGAAAAACCCAAAGGAAAAAGAGTTTAGTTAAGTCCAGGGAGTTGGCAGTGTTAAAAAGGGTCTAGTAAAGGTTTGGGAAGTTAAAAAAGGAAGTAAAAAGGGTTCTAAGTAGAATGAAAAGAAGGCAAAGCCTCAAGTGTCAAAAAGGAAAGAAAAGTTCCCTAAGTGTTTAGAAAATCCCAAACCGCTAGATGTTACCTCAAGAAGCCTCTCCCTAGGAAGTTCTTAAAAGAAAAGTGAGCAAAGCTCCTCAGTTTCAAAGGCGAAATGCCAAAAAGGGTAGTTAGGATTTTGTTCTAAAAAGCTCTAAGTGTTGAACTCGATCGAGTTAGGATTAGGCGGCTCGAGCTGCTGTTCTTGCATCATCTTTGGTTCTAACACTTAGCCTTCTGCCAAAGCAAAGCCACTTTCTTGAGAGATCCCTGTTACTAAACCACCATACAAAAGAGACCCTCTTTGTCTCTTAACCCATAAACCCTTGAAACCAAATGAGTTGATTGATCTTGCATGTTTTTGGTTCACTGTTTTTGCTTAATGAATGTTAAAGGGATTTGCTGATTTGAATGCATTGTTTGAGTGACTGTGAAGTGGGATTGATGTTGATAAGCATGGTTAAATCTTAATGAATATCTCTCACCTTGTTGCATTCTAGAATCTCTAAGTTGGACATTTAGCAAATCGCTTTTGAGGACATGTTTTTAAGTGTTGAATCAGCTATTTTCAAACCTCATCTCTTTCTTGTTCTATTTGTTTGCTTGAGGGCAAGCAAAGTTCAAGTTTGGGGGTGTTGATGTACTTGCATTTTACATAGTTTTAGCACATCTTTTATGCATCTTTTGCATAGTTTTAGCTTCCATTTGCATCATATCTTGTTCCTTTTCTCTTCTTATGCATTCATGTTAGTTTTAGGTTGCATTTGCATACATATGCATGTTTGGTCCTTTGAAATAGGTCTTTTGGAGCATTCTGGAGCATATGGGACATGAGGAGCATGGAGGGACTTGGCACATGGACGCAGCTCAACTGGATACGCAAAGGAAGAAGGGAGAAGCCATCTTGAAGACCAGCTCGACCGTCTACTCGACCAACCGGTCGAGTTCCTCAACTCGACCGGCCAAGCTTCAACTCGATCGAGCTGAGAAGTCAAAGTCAAACCCGAAAAATGTTGCTTCCCCCTTGACTTTCCTTTGACCCTAAACCTAATCCTCTTGTATTTAAAGGCTCTAAGCCACGAAAAAACCACCAAGCTTTAGATTATTTTGTTTTAGTTTCTTTTAATTTATTGTCTTTTACTTTTTAGAGATCTAATCCCATCTTTGTGTTCTTGAAGCTCTTGCTTCTTGAATCCTTAGATCCTGGATAATCTCTTTGTATTTGCACTTGCTTATTTCAATAAAAGTTGTTTAATTTCATCTCCTCTTTCTTATGATGTCTCTTTTATTGCATTTGCTTGTGTTTACATTCATGTGTAGTGAGTAGTTACCCATTAGGGTTTGAGATGGGATAGATTAGAGGTTTCATATGCTTAATCCTTCTAGCTTATGGTCTTAATCTAGATTCTCTCTCTTTTGGATAGATCTTAAGGCTACATGACCACTACCCCTGGCTTGTAAGTCCTTAGGCGATTCCCCACACGAAGTGATGGCATTCGCTGGAAAAGATCCACTAAGAGCTCCAATATCTCTTGCTCTAGAAATAGAGGTCTAAGGGGTTGGATGGATTAGTTTGGGCAATGATCCTATAGCCTCCAAGGTTTGATTCTCACTGGCTAACCCCCTGTTTCTGAGATCATTCCTTGGTTGATAGCCTCACCTTGGGAAAGGGTTGGCTAGGCATTGAGAAGCCCAATATCAAGAGAAGCCTTGATACAAGGAGTTTTAAGAGCTAGATTGATTAAGTGTAGATTCCTTTGATTGCAAAACCCTGTCTTGAACCCTAATTCTCTCTTATCTTGTTAAAGTCGTCACCTTTAGCTTTTTGTCTCAACTCGTCCCTAAACTCGATCGAGCTGGTACTTTGTTCTACTCGACTCGAGTCTTGGTCGAGCTGTTACTTCACTGCTTTATTTACTTTTGCATTTGCATTTCTGTTTCATTTAGGTTGTTAGTGTTACTTCAAATCTATTACTGCTTGCTTGACTTCTGGTTGTTTCATATTCTCATAGAGTGACAAGTTTCCCATTTTGGATTGATAACCCTTTGTACTATCAACTATCATGGTTAAAGGGAATTGTTGACTGTGTTTGTGTTTGCATCTTACCACCTCATCATATACCACTGATTGCATTCCACTCATCTCATTTCATATCTTTTCACATCCACACACAAATCCTATCATCAGAAGCACTACTCAAGTCCATGAAGGACAATGAAGAAGAAGAAAGAGAGTATGAGGAACAATTGAATGATGAAGATGAAGAGCAGAGCATCGACATCAATGCTTCCCCAAAACAGAGCATGGATACACCAAGCCCTAGAGACCCTCGTTTCTCACCAAGAAGTCAAGCTTCTACACTTCCAAGACTGGAAGCAATGCAAAGACCATCACCACCTACTGAAGAAGAAGATACTTGGCAGTATGATCCCATTGATCCCAACAAGATAAGCCCCATGAAGCTTAAAGAGTTCAATGCTAAGGTGAAATCACTTCCATTCTATGTCACTTTTGAAGAAGCTTGGGATAAACATGGTCTAGTGGAGTTCTTTTTCACAACTAGTGAAAACAAAGAAGAGATACACCAACTTTTCAGGAAGGCTCGATTTCCCCTTGCCCCTCATGGAGTCAATCAACCACCATCACCACCACCACCCAAGTGGTATGTCAATTCCATATCAAGAGAGAAGCTTGCTGAGTTCAATCAGTTTGTCCAAACTCTTCCAGCCAGCATGTCTTTCAAACAAGCTTGGCGCCACTACCCATTCACCACCTTTCTTCCACAACTGCAAGAGACACCTGAGGACATAAAGAGCTTTTTGAGAAAGCTAAAGTTCAGCCTACCTTCAAGACCCTCTACAAGATTGAAGACCCAGGTCAATTCTCTATTCCCTGTCAAGTAAATGGTCATTACTTTGATAGAACACTATGCGATTCTGGCTCTTGCATAAACCTCATGCCAACCCAAACCGCCAAACTCCTTGGCATCACACGCTTGCAACCTGCTCAAATTAGTATTGGACTTGCTAACCATACTATAGCCAAGCCAAGAGGAGTTGTTATTGATGTTCTTCTAGAGATTGGAGATATCAAGATCCCGGTGGACTTTCATGTCATAAACATTCAAGGAGGATGTGACACACCATTGATACTAGGCCGACCCTTTTTGGCCACTGCTGGAGCTGTCATGGACCTTCCAAACCGGCGAATGTCCTTAGCCAATGTTGACAAGACAGTCTTTTACAAGACCATACCATTCATCACACCAAACAAGCTGTCTTACCTCATCACTGCCCAAGGCCGCCCAAGAGAGCCACCAGACCACACTCAAGGTCACAATGAGACAAGAACTAAAAGACTATGTCTCAGGCCGTGCCCTTACCCCATCTCCAACTAAGAGATCCTATCAGTCAAGCTAATGACTCAAAAGAAGCGCTGCATGGGAGGCAACCCATGAAAGGTGTTTTTCTTTACTTTTCTTTTCAATTAGTTTTAGTTAATGTCTAGTTTTGTTTTGAGTTTTGGATACAGGAATCTAAGAACCACACAATGGTAAAGAAGATATACCACAAAGAAGAATGTCATAGTTGGCGCGACTTAGATGGCCGAGCAGAACCTCTCCACGCTCGCCCATGTCCTCTCAAGCCGCCCAACACACCATCCCATCTCATTCCATCTGCATCTCACCCATCCCACCTCACCACACTTGCATTCCATCACTACCATCATTCCACTGCATTCACCATTCTTCAAGTAACACCAAATCAGGTTACATCTTTCTTTTTACATTCACAACCACTTTATTACCTCTTTCTTTAACTCCCTTAATTGGATTTTCTTTCACCGGGACGGTGCAAGTTAAGTCTGGGGGGATTGTCGGTACTAATGTGTTTGTTCATGGTTGTTTTGATCTTATAATTGGTTTTTCCTAACCCACTTTTTCAAAACTTCTGTTTTATTGAGTCAAAACCAGTCCGGAACAATGAACTTGCTTTGAGATTTGATAGTGTTATGCTAACAATCTATGACCCTAGAGCAAACATCAGCTGAAGGCACAAGCCTAACAGAAGCTCCTAGAGTGGATCGCATGCTAGCTCAGCGAAATTTCTAAGGTAACCAAGCAATCTAGAGTTAACCTCACCCTTAATCAATCTTAATAACTCTTGTCAAGGGGATTGGCATACATGTCGACAGTTCCTTGCTTGATTTTCAATGAGATTTGTCTAAAGAGTTCACCTCTCTCTCCCATCCCAAATGGTAAGTAATGTTTATGAGAAAAGCTCAAAGAGCACAAGGAAAACAAGTAAGCATGAGGAATGCATATGTCTGTACCTTCATGTCTTATGGAATACCTTATCAAACAAGGAACAAGCTAAAGACTTATCCTGTGGTTGAAAGAAAGGTCAATAGAAAAAATAAAATGATACCCTAGAAAAGTAGGGAGAAATTGACCTTTCAAAGTTCTGATGTGAGAAAGAGAGAGGAAAAGGAACTCATTGCACTTCAAAGACAATCTTGGAGAAGATCAAGTGGGTAAGAACAAGTTCAATTGATCGATTTCCCTTGATAAAGAACTCACGCTTTAAATTTATGCAAGAGGTTAGCAATAGAGAGTTTGGATTGCTGGATGAGACTAGTTGGGTTGGTATTGTTCGCTAAACTTGCAGGGTGTATGTGAAGCTAACCTTATGTTGACTATGTTCTTAGTGGAATACAGGAAAGGAACCTTTCACAGGATTTTCAAAGAAGCAAGAGAGTTCCCACGTTTTTCAAAACCTCTTCACTAGTTTAGATTCTTTTTGCTTGGGGACAAGCAAAGATCTAAGTCTGGGGGAGTTGATATACCTCTATTTTACCTACTTTTTATGCTATTTTACTATGGTTTTCTAATGGTTTTCTAGTGGATTCTTGTGTTAAAAGGTAGTTTTTATGGATTTATAGTGCAAAGAGTCATTTTAGGTAAAAAGGTGCATTATGGAGCAAAACAGGAGATTTGGACTCTAAACCAGTTCAATGCCCCTGCATCAACTTTGGATGGAGCTAGAAAAAGATCTACTCAATGGATTTCATCAAGACCAGTTCCCTGCGTGCTCTGATTGAGTTAACTTTCCAACGCAACTGGAATGGCCTCATTTGGATGAGTAGAAAAGGAGTTATAGCCAAAAGAGTGAAGGCTGCTCCAGACGGCTATATCGAGAATCAGCGCCCGAACGCGCAGTCCGGCTGGCCGAGGAACGATGTTCCGCGCTCGGCCAAAGCTATTCCGTCCGACTGAAGTCTCGGCCAAAGTTCAAACCGACCGGCCGATCACGCAACACGACCCGGGAAACATTGTCCCGCGGTCGGCCAAGCTTCAAGTCACGCCACGCCGCGCACGACCAGCGCGCGAGCCGGGAAACAAGCCTCGCGGCCGCGCAACCCGTTCGCGTACCACGGCCGATGCATCCGTCCGAGCCGGGAAAGAACGTCCCACGTCCGGCCGAGAAACCATCGGCCAAATCTCATCCGCCGACCAGCCGGCCGACCATGAAACATCCGGCCACGACCGTTCCGACTCGGCCCAAGACCCGACTGTCCGGCCGATCGTCCCGACCGACCGTCCGAACGCCGCGGTCGACCCGAAGCCGTTTTTGAAGCCCAATCCGCACAATTCAAGCCCAAAGCCGGCGCCGACCTAGCTAGATTAGGTTTAGCCGCCTTTCATACTTAGAGCATTATAAATACTTCTTTTTAGCCTTGTAACTCAAGAAGGAGAGAGACCACAATCTATTTTACATCTTAATAAAGTTTTGCTTGCTTTTACTTTGTTCTTGCTTGTTACTCTTTCTAGAGAGGATTCGAATCTCTGTTCTTATGAATATGAATTCGTGTTCCTTCTCTATGTCTGAGTAGTTTACTTGTTAAGTGATAGGAAGTCAAAGGATAGCATTCATGTATGCTTGATGATTGATCACAATTAGGGTTTTACTTATAATCTCCATCTTTGCTTATACTTAATGCTTGTTGTTAATCTGGCCAATTAGCATATGCCTTTAGGTTGATTTGAGCCTCGACAGTGCTGTATCATTCGCCTGAACTAGTATTTGGTGGGCAATCTCTTTTAGACTGCGACAGTTGATCTACTTGTAGGTTGTGAACAATTGATCTTGATCGAACTAATGCTTGATTTAATCACCTAGGGACATACCAAAAGTTTAGCGACTAGGTAGATTAACAAAGGGGTCGGAGCCTCGACAGTGGAATGATCATACCATAGTGTTTCAAGTTCTAGATTAGCACCTAAGTGCGGTAACCCTAATTGATTGATTTCATGCTTCTTGAATTGCTTATCTCAAGACTATCCTATTGCTTAGCCTTTCTCTCCTATTGAATCTCACTTTTATTACTTGCATGCTTTACTTTCTCTGCACTCAACCAACTTATACTTTTGCCCTAGCTTGTTCTCAAACTCATAACTTGTAGTGTGCAATCTGGTCCTTGTGTTCGATACCCGTTTACTACTTCTGACCTGTGCACTTGCAGAATCAGGGATAGGAAAGGGGAAGACCTGATCCCGCGATCACAGCAACAAGCACCTCAGGTTCCACTTGTACCCTCTGTGACCTCTGAACCCTCTTTCTACCCGTTGTAAAGTCTAGCTCGACCAAGTCCTCTGTAGACCGACTCGATCGAGTTTGCATACACCTGCAAAAAGAGACAAAAACCCAGCAGTACAATAGAACAGGGGTGGTATAGCTTTATCGTTCAAGTGTATTTGAAACTCAAATGCAACAAAATAATCTCAAATCGGCATACAAAATAAGCTTGTCATGCTGATCATGCTGATCATGTTACTAGAACTGGACTTCTTAAGGTCTGTTTCTGTTGGTTGACATAATTGGTTACATTTCTAGCGGTTTTGGTTATCAATATTGATCTCTCTTTGTTTGCTTTACACAGAAAACGGTCCCAGGTGTGAAATCTGTCATTTCGAAAGCAAGCGGTTCCAAAGCTGACATGTTTGTTAAACCTGGTGACAAAGTATCTATTGGTGACATATACCTTGAGGTATGAAATACCAAATTGCAAAGTAAGAAACTAGAAAGTCAAGAGATTAAGTAATTATCATTTCGTTTTGTTGTTGCAGGTTCGTACTACACCTGGACATACAACAGGATGTGTTGCATATGTAACTGGAGAAGAAGCAGATCAGCCCCAACCAAGAATGGCCTTTACCGGAGATGCTGTACTAATCCGCGGTTGTGGGAGAACCGACTTTCAGGTACACAGAAACAGTGAATAAATCAATTATAAAGAACCAAAAACTGTATTGTGGATACATAAGATCTATATTTACTTATGATGATTCCATCGGTGTTTCATTTTGTTACTAAGGTTCATTCCTAAACTCATATCTTTTTGAACCTTAATTCTTCTTTTTTCCCAGGAAATTGATGGCAACTTTGCAGGTGTAGGAACTGCAGATGTCGCTAGCTCACAGTCGACGCTGGAGAGGTACGATATCCATAATATCATAATATAAGATGATCATAGTCACACACTTCAACTTCTAACTACGATCAATTATTAAGGTGATCTCTTTACACATGGATTTGTGCACGATGTGACCATAAAGGTATTCACATTCTCTCAACTAGAATCTCCTCCATTATGCATCCTTTCAACATTCTATCTCCAAACTAATACTTCGTCAAACTATGAGATTCGTCATTATGAATGACGGACCTGAATGCGCTATTGTCTTCTCATATATGAATGGTGAAGAATGAGCATCTCACAGGTCCGTTTCTAACACATGGTTTTTGGATTGCTTATAAAATATGATTACTGTTTGGGCAAAATTTAACCGGTTCACAAGTACAATAAACGGAATGACGCAGGAGAAGAAATCTTATTAATCAATTGAATATCGAGCAACAACAAGTCAATATCAAAGATTAAACTAAGAGGATCTCATCTGTCGCTCGTCGTAGATCGTAGTTCGTCGTAGCTAGGTTGTTCGTCGCTTGCTCGTCGAGAGGCGAAGAATAAGTAGCTATTAGGGTTTTTTGTGTGTTTATTGATTGTCTGTCCTTGTTATGGGACCTCTTATTTATAGGTGCTTGTCGATCATAATCCTTGTCGAGTTGGGCTTTGACGTCGGTCGTAATATTCCATTTCCCTTGTCGGTTGTTCTTCTTAATTTCCTTTTAGTTAGGAGGTTACGTCGGTCCTTTTATACAATTCCAATAGGCTTGGGAAATTATATAAAACCTTGGGTCATTGTTAGACTGTTAGTCGTTGCGAAACCATTAATGAATATCGTCGGTCGTACCTCGTTATAGAGGTATGTCGATGCTTGAGGCCTCTTAGGAAACTTGCATTAGGACTGACCGGTCGCTCGCATCGTCAGTCGATCATATCTCCAGCTTATAATAGAGTTTAAGGAGCGACCGACTAGTGAATTTATTTCACCCAACAATTATAAGGGGGGGAACTCAGCCTATAGGTCGTGATATTAGCAAATGATTCTAATCTTATTAAAACACATATTTTCTGATGGTCGGGGAGCAGACAGAGCCATTGGCCGTGACATTGTGGATCCACACTACAAGGAATGTCTTTACACTGGTATTGGCGTCTCTTGTGTCGAAGGAGAAGTCATGCCTGGCCAGTGGGAGTTGCAAGTCTACATGTGGAGAGTATTTGTGTTGGTGATCCAGTATGTGTTGCTTGATGCCTTCTCGAGGTAGATCTACTAAACCAGTTAATTTGTGAATACAAGCTTCAAATTTGCTAATAACATGTCTTTTTTTACAAAGACTTACTGAGATCTCTGGTGTGATGGTCATTATTGACCCAAAACCAGTTCCAATCAGTTCCTTACTACTCTTTACTACTTCATATGCACTATAACTAAAGTGTTTTTGTAACATAGATGAATGGGTAGGGTGACGAGTTGGAACAGAGTGCCGAGCTCGATCGAGTTTAGGGTCGAGTTGAAGTAAAAAGCAATAAAGGCAGCGACTTTAACAAGCTAGAACGAAGAATTAGGGTCTAAGACAGGGTTTTACAATCAGAGGAAGGCTATACTTAATCAATCTTGCTCTCAAACCTTGTATCAAGGTATCTCTTGATATTGAGCTTCTCAATGCCTAGCTAACCCTTTCCCAAGGTGAAAGCTATCAACCAAGACTTGATCTCAGAAACAGGGGGTTAGCCAGTGAGAATCAAGCCTTGGAGGCCATAGGATCATTGCTCAAACTAATCCATCCAACCCCTTAGACCTCCATTTCTAGAGCAAGAGATATTGGAGCTCTTAGTGGACCTTTTCCAACGATTTCCATCACTTCCATGTGGAGAATCGCCTAATGGACATACAAGCCAGGGGTAGTGGTCATGTAGCCTTAAGGTTTATCCAAAAGAGAGAGATTTCTAGATTAAGAACATAAGCAAGAAGGATTAAGCATAAAATCTAATCTATCCCATCTCAAACCCTAATGGGAAACTACTCACTACACATGAATGTAAACACAAGCAAATGCAATAAAAGAGACATCATAAGAAAGAGGAGATGAAATAAACAACTTTTATTGAAATAAGCAAGTGCAAATACAAAAGAGATTATCCAGGATCTAGGATTCAAGAAGCAAGAGCTTCAAGAACACAAAGATGGGATTAGAGCTCTCAAAAGTAAAAGACAATAAATTAAAAGAAACTAAAACAAAAAGTAATCTAAAGCTTGGTGGTTTTTTCGTGGCTTTTAGCCTTAAATACAAGAGGATTAGGTTTAGGGTCAAAGGAAAGTCAAGGGGGAAGCAACATTTTTCGGGTTTGACTGTTGACTTCTCAGCTCGATCGAGTTGAAGCTTGGCCGGTCGAGTTGAGGAACTCGACCGGTTGGTCGAGTAGATGGTCGAGCTGGTCTTCAAGATGGCTTCCTCCTTCTTCCTTTGCGTATCCAGTTGAGCTGCGTCCATGTGCCAAGTCCTCCTTGCTCCTCACGTCCCATATGCTCCAGAATGCTCCAAAAGACCTATTTCAAAGGACCAAACATGCATATGTATGCAAATGCAACCTAAAACTACTATGAATGCATAAGAAGAGAAAAGGAACAAGATATGATGCTAATGGATGCTAAAACTATGCAAAAGATGCATAAAAGATGTACTAAAACTATGCAAAATGCAAATACATCAAAGTGTCAAAAAGAAAAGAAAAGTTCCCTAAGTGTTTAGAAAATCCCAAACCGCTAGATGTTACCTCAAAATCCCAAGGTTTGGGGGTTAGCCAGTGAGAATCAAACCTTGGAGGCTATAGGATCATTGCCCAAACTAATCCATCCAACCCCTTAGACCTCTATTGTCTAGAGCAAGAGATATTGGAGCTCTTAGTGGATCTTTTCCAGCGAATGCCATCACTTTCGTGTGGGGAGTCGCCTAAGGACTTACAAGCCAGGGGTAGTGGTCATGTAGCCTTAAGATCTATCCAAAAGAGAGAGAATCTAGATTAAGACCATAAGCTAGAAGGATTAAGCATATGAAACCTCTAATCTATCCCATCTCAAACCCCAATGGGTAACTACTCACTACACATGAATGTAAACACAAGCAAATGCAATAAAAGAGACATCATAAGAAAGAGGAGATGAAATTAAACAACTTTTATTGAAATAAGCAAGTGCAAATACAAGAGAGATTAATCCAGGATCTAAGATTCAAGAAGCAAGAGCTTCAAGAACACAAAGATGGATTAGATCTCTAAAAAGTAAAAGACAATAAATTAAAAGAAACTAAAACAAAATAATCTAAAGCTTGGTGGTTTTTTCGTGGCTTAGAGCCTTTAAATACAAGAGGATTAGGTTTAGGGTCAAAGGAAGTCAAGGGGGAAGCAACATTTTTCGGGTTTGACTTTGACTCCCCAGCTCGATCGAGTTGAAGCTTGGCCGGTCGAGTTGAGGAACTCGACCGGTTGGTCGAGTGGACGGTCGAGCTGGTCTTCAAGATGGCTTCTCCCTTCTTCCTTTGCGTATCCAGTTGAGCTGCTTCCATGTGCCAAGTCCCTCCATGCTCCTTCATGTCCCATATGCTCCAGAATGCTCCAAAAGACCTATTTCAAAGGACCAAACATGCATATGTATGCAAATGCAACCTAAAACTAACATGAATGCATAAGAAGAGAAAAGGAACAAGATATGATGCAAATGGAAGCTAAAACTATGCAAAAGATGCATAAAAGATGTGCTAAAACTATGTAAAATGCAAGTACATCAATATCCAACTTCATTCAGCGAAACAATGAGACATTCGCAGAGGCTTGGGAGAGGTTCAAAGGCTACACAAGTCAGTGCCCACACCATGGATTCAACAATGAATCACTACTCTCCACTCTTTATAGAGGATGCTTGCCTAGGTATAGGGAGATGCTAGACACAGCTAGCAATGGGAACTTCCTCAACCAGGATGTAGATGATGGCTGGCAACTTGTGGAGAACATAGCTAACTCAAATGGAAGCTATGGAGAAGAGTATGATCGCACCAACCGGAGCTCGACCCACCACTCGATCGAGTCAGACGAAAAGTTGAGAAAAGATGTTAAGGCATTGAATGAGAAGTTGGATAAGCTGATCCTAGCTCAGTCCACAATGAAGAAAGTCAACTTTGTGTCTGCTGAGGAGATGGAACCAGTCCAAGAAGGGGAGGATACACAATTTGCTGAGGTGTGCTACATGAGCAATGGGCAAGGAGGTTACAACAAAGGATACTATAATTACAAGTCCAACCCTGCCATGTCATACCGCAACACTGATGTTGCTAACCCTCAGGACCAAGTATATCCTCAACAACAAGCAGCTCGATCGAGTCAGGTGCCACAACATGGGTATGGTCAAAAGAACAATTACCAAGGACCACAAGGCACTTTCCCTGGACAACAAATGAATATCCCACCAGGCTTCCCCCACCAACCGCCCCAGCCTGCACCTTCACAAGAGAATGAGCTCAAAGGCAATGCTAAAGCAACTACTTCAAGGGCAAGCTGATGGGGTAGTGGACACAAGCAAGAAGCTAGCTGAAATAAACTCTAAGATCGAGAACCTCAACACAAGGGTTTACTCTCTGGAGAATCATGCTTCTTCTGTTGCTGCTGCTACAAAGCAAGGACAACTACCTGGTAAAGCTATTCAGAACCCCAAGGAACAGTGCAAGGTCATCTTCACTCAAGAAGGACTTGTTGAAGAAGAGGATCAAGAAAGGGTCATTGAAGATTTTTGTTTACTGCTGAATGATGAAGAGATTGTTGCTGCTGAGGCTCCTGGAGTCCAGATTGATCAACCAGAAGTGCATGCACCTACTGTGGCCATTCACACTTCACCAGTTGAGCTCGCACGACAAGCTCGATCGGCAGCTCGATCGAGTCCAACTCTAGCTCGATCGAGTCCGACCTCTTCTGTCCGAAGCCTGTTTTGCTTGATCCTTATCAACCGGTTGCCGCTTCCTCGTCTCGCCTACTTAGTCAAGGTCACAAGGAAGTGATTCACAAGTTCAGAAGAGATCTCAGTGGGATTGGAATTGAGTTGCCTCCTATGGATAGCATGAGTGAGGCATTTGATCAAATGCAAATGGTCAAGGATGTTCTAGCCAACAGTGATAAAGTTTCAGAGGTCCTACAAGAGTCTACTCATCAGTTCAACCTGCTTACTTCACCCACCTTCCTACCAAAGGTCAAGGATCAAGGGAAATTCACTCTCCCTTGCACACTTGGGCATCTTGAGATTGACAATGCCTTAGTGGATTCTGGAGCAAGCATCAATCTGATCTCTCTCTCCATGGCAGAGAAGCTAGGCATTGCTGGAGCCTTGCAGCGCCCTACTACTTCAATCATGTTTGGAGATGCAACTTCTAAGTCTCCTCTTGGAGTGTTCAAGAACTATCACTTGAAAATTGGAGAATGCATCATCCAAACTGATCTCACTGTGATGGAAATGGAAGAAGAGAAGGATTTGCCTCTGTTATTGGGAACCCCTTTCCTTAGTACAGTTGGCGCTTCAATAGACTTTCACAAGCAAGAAGTGATCCTTCACAAGGTGAATAGTTTGGTGTCATATCGCTTGCAGCCTAGAGGTTCAGACTTTTGTGCCACAATTGACAGTACCAATCTCAGTTCTAAGAGTCATGGAGCTACAAAGGTTGTGAAGGAAAGGGTTGACAAGGAACCAAGAGTTGGGAAGGATAAGGATGAGAGAGGACCAAGGATTGAGAAGCCACGTCTTGAGAGGGCTAGAGTTGAGAAACCACGATCTGATAGGCCAAGAGCTGAAGACTTGTTCAAGCCCCTTGTGTGCTTGATGAAGAGAGCCTTCAAGCTTTGTTTGATGAGCCACTAGGAAGGGCTCTAAAAGAAGGGGAGGATGCAGCCTCTAAGGCAAGACCAGGAGATAAAAGAAAGGATCCACCAGCTCAGGCCCCTTCAGTCAAGCCATCTCAGCTCACAATGACTTTGTTCCCCACCAAGTTTGAAAATGGGAGATTG